TATATATATATATATATATATATATCCCACTACATTATGCTTAACAAGTAGAGTTTGCCAAAATTCGCTAACCACAGCATAATTGAAATATCTGCTTTCAACAATTACTACATTAAATATTCTTTAAAGCAATGCTATTATACTTAGCCGACATCCTGTTGAAAATTCATTTGCTTAGAACCACCAATCCGCTTCACACCAGCATTTTTTCTTGCGCCATTTCTCTGTTTTCTAAAGGTGAGGTGTCTATTTGAAATTACTAACATAATATTTTGTTTGCACGCATAATTATAACATTATTGAAAATTGTTTAAAATCAATTAGGTATGAACTATCCTGTAATATTTAATATTGTTGTTAACGTACCGTACTTATTTTTCGTATTTTAAACTATTTTTGTCATTAGGGTTCAAAGTGACTGTTAAATTTGGTTGTTTTCCAAGCTGCTTCGTTTTTTTTTTTTTTTTTTTTTTTGTTTTTTGTTTTTTTTTTTTTTGAAACAACCTAAATTTCACTGAGAGGTCAATGATTGGACAACCTTAAAAAAAGATATTGTTGTCCGTGTTGCGTACTATTGTCCAAACTACCAAATTTTTATGCAACAACATTTTTTATGTTAAATATGGTAGGAACATAGACCTACCAGTAGGCTAGTCATGCATTACGAATGGCTTGTTAGCAACGATGTTGAATGGTCGCACTTAATGCGTGTTTAATTATCTCCAAATGTGTGGCTAGTTTATATGATAACTGATATCGATGAGCATTGCACGACTCCTCTTGAAACAACGAATTCCGAGTTGGTAGGCCCTATAGGCCTACTTTCTTTTAAATTATATTTTACCCTTTTCATGTTAAAAGTTTACTTATTTATATTCTCTTGAAAAAATGTGCATTTCATTTTACGCATTTGATGATTTCTTTAGATTTCTATGTGAATCTATGTAGCATAAAATAAAAAACATGCAGCGCATTATTGATGCGTTTTTAATATAAAGGCCATATCTTACCGTATTATTATTATTATTATTACAAACCTAATAATAGTATACATAAAATATACATCTTGTGGTTAAATACTGGAGTAACGTGTAAAATGAAGCAATGTCATGGTTACAGTGTATTCAAACAGTCATTATTTCCATGACGTGACTCAAGGTTATCAGTATGTCCTGTTCACAATTGTATCTGAATTTTTCCATTTACTAATTCTGCTTCATAATCCAAGTAGGTCAAAACTGAGAGCAGTTTGTGCTCTCAAAGTCCTTTAATCACATAAACAGCTGAGTTAGTTTTGTATACTTTATTATTCTAATTAAACCGCGATTTAGTTATAGTTCAGTGATCTATTGGATAATAGGGTACATTTATTGTGTCTTAGACAAACCTATGTAAAATGTTTACACTATTTTCATGTTAAAGTCTATAGCCTGGTAATATAAGCCTACATGGAGACATCTATTTTCGTGTTTTAGGTTATACATCTTTTCATATGTTAAAAAAGAGAACGGTCCAAAGTGAATTGTCGATGGTAGGCTTTCCAATTTAATTATAATTAAAGTGACGAAAATGTATCAAAGGCTATTACTTTAACCTGTTCATATTCAGGTTAAAATGAGGTCTCTGGAATGATATCAACAATAATTGATCTACTAATTTTTATTTGGAGTACTCAGAGGCTTGAGAGTCGAGGTTAGAAAATCGTGGATATTTTTCTAAACATCTTTTTTTCAATCGTTTAAATTACACGTCACGTGATGGGAAAAATGAATGTGAATTCATAAAGCGTGACGTGTTTGCAACATTTTTACAAATACTTTAAGCGCCCTTAGGAATTGGGACGGGCATCCGCCAAAAAAACGGTTTCCGTTACTGTTTCACGTATTTTGCTTTATAAATTTATGATGTGGAATGAGGTTATAGAGATTAATGATTTTTTAGTTTTATCAGTATTTTATATTTTAATAAATGCACTTTAAAATCAACCTGTAATCAACCGTCCACTTGGTATTAGCTTTGAATATAATTTCCAAAATAGAGACAGAGTAAGCCAATGGATAGTAAATAGGCCTATATAAATTAGGCCTATATAACAATACTGGCCACGCATCCCTACACATATTGTTTAACTCTAATATTATTTTCTAGATTCGGCTCTGGAGGGTGGTTGCGCCCCCTTTTCCTAATGTTTTCCCCATTTTCCCCCTGTTTCCAAACAAAAATTAGTTGTACAACACTATCATTTTTTTTCTCCGGAACCTGGCTTGATTTCATTCAATGTAACAACTCACTTTTGGTACCATTTTCAGTTCCGGAAATCTGCGAAATGGTTATAGTTGGGATTCTATTTAGCTACATTATATTAACATGTTCCATCTGTGCATCTACGTCGGAAAGCTTGGATGCAGTATATTTGTCTAATCATCTCGCTATTCTTTCAAATGACGTGCTTGGGGTTCAATACATGCAGGTATGTACCTTCGTTTATGTATGTTAAACCCTGTCCACACTATGATAATTAACTGGTGTATGCCCATATATGGCCATGATGTGCCTATATATGGTCATGTTGTGATGTCATCATGCCCATATATATAGTCATGATGTGCCTATATATAGTCATGTCTGGACATAGTTTTACCGAAATTCTGCTCTCAAGTACTCCTTGATCCGCTGATACGTGCATAATTCAATTCAATTCAAAAGACATTTATTTTCGTCCATAAATAAAACAACAACAATGAATTTAACATGGCCTTTTCAGAGCATCCCATTCTTTTTAATTTGCTCCACTTTGTTTTAATTTGATTTTCATACGTGCATGACGTGTAGTTGACAATGCGTTTCAATTAAACATTTTAAATGCCAAATTTGAGTTTGATTTTTATTTTCTCGTTTCTGTGTCAAAATTCCTTTTTAATGTCATTGTATGAAATGGACTCAAAACAATTTTAGAGATTTTTTTTATCTTTTTTTTCTCCGGAACCTGGCTTGATTTCATTCAATGTAACAACTCACTTTTGGTACCATTTTCAGTTCCGGAAATCTGCGAAATGGTTATAGTTGGGATTCTATTTAGCTACATTATATTAACATGTTCCATCTGTGCATCTACGTCGGAAAGCTTGGATGCAGTATATTTGTCTAATCATCTCGCTATTCTTTCAAATGACGTGCTTGGGGTTCAATACATGCAGGTATGTACCTTCGTTTATGTATGTTAAACCCTGTCCACACTATGATAATTAACTGGTGTATGCCCATATATGGCCATGATGTGCCTATATATGGTCATGTTGTGATGTCATCATGCCCATATATAGTCATGATGTGCCTATATATGGTCATGTCTGGACATAGTTTTACCGAAATTCTGCTCAAGTACTCGTTGATCCGCTGATACGTGCATAATTCAATTCAATTCAAAAGACATTTATTTTCGTCCATAAATAAAACAACAACAATGAAAGAGAGAGCACAAAGTACAATGTATATATATATATATATATCGAAAAAACAATAAGACAATAAAAAAGACAAAAGTGCATAGATCGAGATCGGGGAGAAGACAACAATTCGTTGGGGAGAACAAAAAATGTATATGTATTTTTACGTAGTAGACCCCAAAACTGATTAAATAAACATTTGAAACCCCTAAATTGCCATATTTTTCGAGGGCTTCCCCCCTTGAACACTTTCGAGACATTTTGGGCGACGCTAGACCACACCGACATTTTTTTTTTCGTCGGGGATGTTGGCTCCTGCCCTCAGGGACCTTGAACCTCCCCCCCGGGCAAATCCTGGCGCCACCACTGCTGTATACAGTAGAACCTCTATCAAGGGGACACTTTTGGGACCCAAAAAATGTCCATTTTAATAGGAGTGTCCCTTAAATAGGGGTTGGCTAAAATATTGTTATATAAGATATACTTTCATTCGTTTTGTGGCCAAAAAAGTATCCTCCTAATCGGGGTGTCCGCTTAATACTATAGAGGTATCTCAAAGGGTTCTACTTAAATAACTTTATCAATACAGTATAATACAGGAAGTATTACGGTAATGTTTATACGGCCTAATTACTAGCAAAGTAGCTTACCCTTGAGATTGTTTCTGCGAATTCATGCAGTAATCTTAACACGTTTAAAGATCAGGATTTGGATTCATAACATTCCCTGTTATAAAGTTACTTTCTTTTTATATTTGTTTGTTATTTAAAAAAGTTATACTAATCTAAACATTCTATTTTTAGGACATTCTAAACCAACATGAATATGATACGGTACCTACGGAGGATGGAGAAGCTCTTATTGATACGGTACACCCTAAAAATTATAAGAATTCAAATTTCGAACTTAAAATGTTTAACAAATTACCAAGTGAAAATTAATTGTTACAACTCTAATATTTCAAGAAACTCATTATTAAAAACATAATAAGTATTAATGTTATTAGTATACAGAATAGTGCTTTATTTCTATCATGTAGTTTCATTATCCAATTATTTAACATTAATTAAGCATTTTAGTTAACGATTCGTTAATTTAAATATATATTGCACATTCTATATTAACAATAATAATAATGTGTTATGTTAGATTTTTTCAAAGACAATTAAAACGTCATAAGACTTAATAAAGAAAAAAATGTTCTATATAGTTGAAGGATTCACTACAGTATAAGTACCAAAATGCCATCGCGGTTGCAAACGAATTGGCCAGTGTTGTCAAAGAATCGTTTCTAAGTGATACGCAGTCTACGTGGCCACAGTGTTGCCGCTTGCCAGAAGAAGGCCTCGAGGAAAACCCACGTTTTAAACAAAAGGTAAGTAACGTTGAGGAGGGGAGTTCAAACATGGAGAACCCACCACCCCTCCCCTCGTTTGCAACTAAACCTATCAAATTTATCCTGATAAATGTAACTTAAGCCTGGTTTGAATTGCTACTCAGTCGAGCGTGTAGAGATTTTTATGGACCAGGCGGATCCTACTGATAAATTATCATATCATATATCATCATATCATTTATTTCACCAGTAAAAACAATTAAAAAAATGTATGGCTGACTGGCCGGATTGCCCAAAAGCAACGCAAAGTTACTGTCACGGGGCTCTCCTGGCAACGCATACACAAACACATAAAACTAAAAATATAAATATATAAGTATAAAAATAGATAACTATAAATAAAACAATCTCTTTAAAAAATTTCATTTTAAAATATAAAAATTACAAAAGCAAGAACAATTTACAGTGCACAAATACAAAAAAAAAAACTTTATAAAATTAATTAGCATGTGTCTGTTCTGCTGCTGTATCCAAACATTTTTCAATATGATTATTGATTTGCAAGGCACTCGTTCTTGTTAATCGTATTTCTGACTTTTTTTTTTATTCAGTAAGAATAGATAAATCAATGATGGCTGGTAAATATTTACGACCAAAGACATGTTGTTAATAAATTGAGGATTGACTATTTCTTCATTAATTACATTTCTCCTTTTAATGCAATTTGTGTGCACGTTGGGCAAGAGTGTAGGCCTATAAGCACATCTTTTGATAATAGTTTTCAATTTTTGCTTATAATTGACAACAAACACCTGTATATTTGATCTCTTATTTTTATCTACATGTGTATTTTATAAATAAATAAAACTTTCGATAACGTGTGTTTTAGACGGATGATAGCCAACTCTGTTACTACGTTAGTGGCACCGCTACGTCTCAACCGCATATTCTTTTTGAAAAGGCATTCGACGAGATGAAGCGAATAGAAAATCAATATCCCAACGTTCTGTGGCAGTATTTTGGAAGCGAGGAGGGCGCACTACACCAGTATCCTGCTACTGCATCTACACCCGACTGTGACTCGTATGACCCACGATACAGGTCAATTATCAGAATATTACATAATATTTTATTAGTAGTAATTTATATTCTTATATATTTATTCTACAATATTTCACGAGGGGGCTCTTACAGCGAAAATTGTTATTATCATCAATAGGCCTATTGTTATCATTATTCATCAACATCATTTTCACTTTCACCATTTATGTCGTCCTTACCATACGTCGTTGTCTCTTCATAATCTTTATTAATTAAATAGCCTGTCTTTATCGCCTATAATCATCTAATACTTATTCTTTTGTCCGGATTATTTCAATCTGCGTTTGGTACGTCATTTACTAGTTTTTAATGTTTCTTTGATTATGAATGGTCTTTGTATAAGGTCTACTGCCAATCAAAACAGTCCCAGGAACACGTGCGTGTCCTAGGAACACGTACGTGTCCTAGGTACACATGCGTGTCCTAGTAACACGCGTGTTATCCAACAAACGCACGTGTTTATTATACTGTCGTTTTGTGGAACCTTAGAAATACCTAAGGGGTGGGGCTTAGCGGGAAAATAAATTATTAATTATTGATTTATATATATACGAATATTTCACGCGAATACTTAACGCTAGCGTTCGTTAATCGCCCAGTCTGGACATCTCGCTAGTTACGCCATGGACTAACTACACCAAGCGATAGATAGGCTACGCCTGGCGTATCTCTCAAGTCTGAACGTAGCCTTATCTATATTTTATATCACATAGGCCGTGGTACGTAGAAGCTGCAACGCCGATGCCTAAGGATGTCGTGATCGTCATTGACCGAAGCGGGTCAATGGTGACTACACATAAAGGAAGAACGTTGATGAACATCGCAAAAGAGGCTGCAATAACGGTCCTCAAGTCAATGAATCAAAATGACAGGGTAATAATAATGATTGCTTATATTATATTATGTTATATTAGGCCTATATTGTATTATATTATATTACATTAAGTCTAAACTTACATAAGACTACCAAGTCCGACCTTCCTGAGTGCCAATCAAACTTAACAACTGACCTACAAGAGGGCCAGGAAAACGCGCATGTCCCACAAATATGTTTATGTGCGTTTACACTGTCGTTTATTCTGACCTTAGCAACAATATTCAACGATCCAGAGGTTTTTACCTGCATTTTTACGATATACATATATTTTTGTGTGATATTATTTATTTTATAACGTAGGTTGGCTTCGTGGCCTTTTCTGATAAGGCTTCAACGCCAGAGGGCGGATGTCACTCTCAAAGATTAGCTCAAGCTTCTGCACTTAATACTTTAGATCTTGAAGATGAAATTAATAACATTTCACCGGCTGGTATGTAAACATTTTCATCATTTCTATTGAACACAAAGATACAAAATGGTACAGTACCGTTTCGATCTTGTTAGATCTCATCAGTGCAGCTCGGGATTTCAAGAATCATATATATATATATATATATATATATATACATACATTATATATATATATATATGTATATATATATATATATGTATATATATATAAAATAGTTTGACCATATATCGAGTTGTATACGCCTTAAACATGTTTTTAACGTATGCTTCTCTTTTAATAATTGATTCTTGCCTGTGAAGATTTTATCTTTCATAACGTTTTCTTAACATTTTAAGAATTTTTGCTTTTACCTTTTCCTTTTGTACCTTTTTACATTTGTTACATTTTTTATATATTTATATTTATATTTTTATACCTATTTGCCTGTTCTTTTTTGTAATTTTGAAAATCTATTTCTGTCTTTTTTGTGTGTCTTATTGTATTGGTTTTATGAGGACCCCATTGAAAATTAGCATGACTATCGTCGGCTTAATGGGTAATCCTGGTGCTCTTTTGCCTTTGTTTCTCTTGTATTTTTATGTCGAGTACCTAATAAATCAAATCAAATCAAACCGCAATATCATTTTGTTTGAGCTTAAATATGAGTGTAATAAATGCTTTATATATGAATAGTTTTTTGTTTTTTTTTTACATCTCTAGGCAGTACATACTATAGCCATGCACTAAATGCGGCTTTTGATCTCATAAAGAATTCGCCTTTTCCAGAAAATCAAACCCGAAGTAAGTTTTATTTGATGATTCTTTATCATGATTCTCGTTTAATTTATATACTGGAGAAGTCTTCATTGATGACTGTCTATAATTGTGTTATTACGCACTAAGACTCATTTTCCGTACTGGCAATAGAATAATTTATAAAATTATTTATTTCAGACCAAATAATTATGTTTTTGACTGATGGACTGCCATCTGATGATAAAAAAACAATAATGGAAACACTATTGCGGAGGAGTGAGGAGACTATGTTTAAAATTGCTTTGTTAACGTTTGGATTTGGTGAAAGAATAGACGGTAAATGCTCACCTCTATGATGTGGCGTGTTAAAGAGTAGAACAGTTAGTCAGTAATCACAGTAGGCCTATACACTTAAGTATCACTAGGCATACAGATATGCTTCCATCACGGCCTGACAGCGTGTTTAGTGTCCCCGTAAAAAAAAATGTACGTCAAGCAGTGGAAACCAGGGTCGGATCCAGGATGGATCTGTCGGGGTGGCGCGATGCACACCTACGAGGACCTTGGTTCCGAGGGAGGAGTGGGTACCGTACCACCCCACCCCCAACCCCGATTGGATAGGGGCCGCCAATGGAAGCTTTGCACTTACCACTTATAAAAACGATTTGAGACGGTTTAATAAAAGGAAGCAAATACATTTCGTATTGTCAGGATTTATCTGCACATACTCATTAGGTGTGCAGAAAATATCACTATATTCATGTCTTGATCGACTTAAGAAACAACTGTTTGACCAGCACTTCCCCAATTATTTCTTCTATTTCTCGCACTATTTTTCCACTCATATTTTTATTATATTATTATTATTTCCCTATTGTATTTATTTACTTGCATAGACACAGTAATATGAAGCACTGGGTAATGAACAATACAAGATTGTAGGCCTTCTAGTACCTACATACCGGTAATCAAACAAAACATAACCCCCCCCCCCACCACCCCCCAAAAAATGGTCCTTAAGTCTGGTTATTAAGTATTTATCTCCGGTAATCAAACAAAACATAACCCCCCCCCCACCCCCCAAAAAAAAATGGTCCTTAAGTCTGGTTATTAAGTATTTATCTGCTAATAATAAACTATGCAACATGGGCATTTAAAATGATAAATAAAATAATTTTATACTCTTTTTTGAGTGTTTGATCACTAGTATATTAAAATTATAAAAAACTTTAATATATTTATATAAACGGCAGGCATACCATGACACAATGTATGATATTTGCATGTAGGTATTCGATCTACTGATTGAAAAACGTTCTAAAAGACAAATCAGCGTCGTGATATAGCGTTGTGTTCGTGTGAATTGAGCAAAAAAAATTAATACTTTCTGTCGGTTAACTTCTTGTACAATGTAAATTTTATTATTATTATTATTATTATTATTATTATTATTATTATTATTATTATTATTATTATTATTATTATTATTATTAATAATATTTTTTTTATTATTATTGTAGTTTTATTTACAATGTAAATTTTATTATTATTATTATTATAATTATTATTATTATTAATATTTTTTTTATTATTATTGTAGTTGTTGTTGTTGTAGTTGTTATTATTGTTAAACCTAAAGAAAACTAAGGCCATAGTTCTTTTTTTCTTTTAATATTTTTGAAAGTGGGCGTGGCGGCCGCCACTTCCGGGGTGGGTGGGGTGGCACTTCTCCCCTGCTGGATCCGCTACTGGTGACACACCCTTCTTTTTTTCCCTCTGAACATATCTTTACACTTGCGTGATAAAAGACACTACTGCGTCTCCAAATCATTAAAGATCGCTGTTTTTGCTTTATACCAACTTATATTTTATAAATATATTTGTCTTCCCAGAAAACACAGAAATCTTATCGGATATTGCTCTCCAGAATTTTGAGAAATACGAGCTAACACCAAATTCCTTGGTTGGTGACAGAACAGTAAGGACTCAGCCATTAATATTAGACCTATTATTAGTGATTGTTATAATCTTATCATCTTATGTTAGAATTTTACCAAAGTTTCCTGGTATTTAATGTTAAGTTGAACCTGATTTGACTACGCATTCAACCCAGTTTCAGTGCGTAAAATGTAAACATCTTAAAATCTTATTTTTGTGATTGGTTGTAAATCATGTGACAATAAAATAATTAAACTTATATGACTTATGTATCTTTCCCTCTAGATTGGCGCGTATACTTATGTCACTGATCCTGATAAACTCCGAGCTTCCATGGCGACATATTATAACTATATATCCAATGCTGGTACCTTTGATGATATTATATTTACAGCTCCTTACGTAGATGCCTTCGGATCAGGTAAGGCTAATTTAAATACTGCATTATGACTGGCTGGTAACACAATTACTTAAGGATTACGCGTTTTCAAACGGTTAATTTAGGGAGACGAACAATTTGGTTTCACGTCAAAGTCAGTGGCGTTCTTAGGAGTCTTAAAATGGGACTGATGGAGGGAGAATGCGAAGTTGGAGTGAGGGCTCAATAGAGTGAGGGGCAGTAACTTGCTAAATAAGTTAACTTTTATCTACTTGAGCGTGATTTTTTTGCTTCGAACATTCCCAATAGGGGAAGCGACTAGGGGCGCAAGTTGTTAGGGGAGGAGGCCTGCACCCTTAGATACGCCTCTGCTCAAAGTATTTATATGCTGAAAATGTAACAATCAATTGTTAAAAACTGAATAAATATACATTGACTTCACCGTAGGTCTATTGAGTTCGATTTTGAAACCTGTTAGAATTGATGGCAAATTGAAAGGCGTAGTTGGGACAGACATTCCTGTAGCAGAAATGTTTGAAGATGTCACCTATTTCAAACAAGGCGAATATTCATACGCATTTCTATTCGACGGTAAAGGTAATGTCATCCAGAGTATTATTCAGCAACACTCTGTTATACAACGATATGACGCTTGCCGAGAT